ACTTCTCTAGTCAAAGTTGTAGGTTCAACTTCAATCCCATTGCTTTGGACAAGCTTAAAGACTTATTTTTTGATGGGGTTTTGGGCTTCTTTTCGCTTATCTTTTCTACACCCTCACCAATTTGGAAACTCTCTATACAACTTTTTGAACATATGTCAAATTTGATGGTGAACTTTGAAAAAAGTTGTATAGTTGGAGTCAATATGGGGGAAAGGGAGATTGGGGAGTATGCAGATATGTTGGGTTGTGTAGTGTCTAACTGGCCTTTAACCTACTTGGGCTTACCTTTGGGGGATAATCCTCAGAGATGATTTCTGGGCCCCTGTAGTGGAGAGATTTGAAAAGAGACTTGCCAGCTGGAAAAGAAATTATCTCTTGGAGGGAGAATCACATTAATTAGGTCTACATTGACTAACCTTCCTGTATATTTTTTGTCAGTTTTTAGGATTCCGGTGAAGGTGGCTAATAGGTTGGAAAAGCTAATGAGAGATTTTCTATGGGAGCCGGGGGAGGAGAAGAGGGACCATAAGGTCAAGTGGGAGGTAGTCTGTAGAGGTAAAAAAGGAGGGTTGGGTATTGGTAATATTAGGGTTAAGAATCTTGCATTATTAGGGAAATGGTTGTGGAGATTCTCATTGGAGAAAGAAAGGTTGTGGGTTAAGGTGGTGGGAAGTATACATGGACTGGCAAACAATGGTTGGGACTCAGGAATTCTAGCACGGGTTACAAGAGCTTCTCCTTGGAGAGCTATCCAAGTCATCTTGCCTTTATTTTCTCCATGGATCAAGTATGACTTGCATTCTGATAACCTTATCAAATTCTGGGAACATGTTTGGGTTGGGGATTCCCCTTTGAAAGATCAATTTCCGGGCCTTTTTGCTATGTCTTCCCTTAAGAATGAACCAATTTCATCCTTTATTGTTCCTTCCAATTCACCTTCTGGGTTGGTTGGAATTTAAGTTTGAGAAGAGGTGTTAGGGATACAGAGTTTTCCAGTACTATAGCCTTACTATCTCTTCTTGAAGGGGTATTCATTGAGCCGTCTAAAGCAGATAACAGAATTTGGACACTAACTCCCTTGGGTTCATACACTTGTGCTTCTTTTTTCAAAGCACTGTTACCCTCTCATCCGGTTGGTTCTTCTTTTCCTGTTAAAGAAGTGTGGTGTCGACCTATACCTCCTAAGGTTGGGGGTTTTTGTTGGGAGGCCTTCCTGGGAAGAGTTAATACAGGGGATCTACTCCAAAGGAAAAGACCCAACAGCTGCTTGTCTCGTCATTGGTGTGTTCTCTGTAAGTCCGATGGTGAGTCTGGATATCATTTACTAATATCTTGTCAGTTTGTTAAAGCTATTTGGGTATGGTTTACTTCTCTGTTTGGTTGTAGGTGGACTCCCCCTTTGAATGTTCCAAGCTTGTTTTCCTCCATACCTAATTCGCCAACTAAAAGGGCTAAAATCATGTGGAGGTGTGGTAGAGCTGCAGTCTGTTGGACAGTGTGGGAGGAGAGGAACTCAAGGATCTTCTCAAATAAAGAGAGAAGCGTGGAAGAAGTCATGGAGATCATCCATATTAGGATGGTACAATGGTTGAGAACATTGGAGCTGTTCAAAGTATTCCAAGTTGATGAGCTGTTAAGGAATTGGAAGGAGATTGCAGATTCAGGTTTATGTTGGAAGATATTAAAAGTTTGCTGGACTCCTCCACCCCTTGGGTTCACTAAACTGAACTTGATGGTAGCAGCATAGGGAACCCAGGGCCTTCCAGAATTGGGGGTGTGATAAGAGATGAAAAAGGGAACTTATTAGCCATGTACTTTGGGCCGATTGGGGTGGGTGACTCTTTGAGGGCTGAGATTTTAGCATCTATTGAAGGGATTCAAAGGGTCAAGGAAATGAATATCAAAAAGGTGGTTATAGAAGGTGATTTTGAAGTGGTGGTGAAGTGGCTAAAAGAGGACAGTGCTATGATGTGGAAATACAGCAATGAAAAGAGGAAGTATAAGTGGCTAACCAAGGACATGGAAATTCAATGTACATGGATAAAGAAAAGTGCAAATGCATGGCTGATGGTCTAGCTAGGCAAGGGATAAATAGAGATACATTATTCTGTGCTGTTTTGTAATCACTGCATGGTCAAAAAGTCACTTGGGTAGCTGGAGTTAAGACTTTTTAGCTCCATCCCTTTGTAAACCTGATTTTTATCATTAATAAAATTTCACTGTTACTGATAAAAAAAGGCACAAATTTGATTCCAAATCCTCTTGTTTTTTTTTTTTTCTTTAATGACACTATCCCTCTCTTCTTCATTACCTATAACAAGCATAAAACGTGTATCAGTAGCAAAAATCGAATTTACAGGGTTACACGAGTACACATGAGTCAAGAGGTGAACTATAAGGGTTGGGAGGCCCACATTGGAAATCCCAAGCAAGACCCTTCCCTCTGCTTGTTGTTGTTGTGAAGGAGTTGCACGGGAAGAGGACACTTAGGTGGCTTTCCCCTTCCTGGTGTTGCGAAGCAAACCTCCTTGGTGATTTCCTGCCCTTGTATGCTAATATCCTGGGGGAGCTGAGATACCAGGATAGGATCCCTGTACACCATCCAGTGGACGTCATTCGGTGACTGTTTGACATCAGCAGGCCATCCTATAGGAGAAGATTAGTAGAAAAGAGTGCCCAAGAGCCTCTGCCTACTTTGATACCAAAATGTCATTCTATGGTTTGTAGAGAGAGAGAGAGAGAGAGTAAGGGAAGAAGAAGAGGAAGAATAGAGTTCTTTCGAATGAGAGTGGTGTTACTGTTCACACCCTTAAACTTGATATTTATATTTTGAAGAAAAAATTACAAGAAAGCCCTTCCCTGGGTCCCCAAATACAAAATGATAAGGAAAAAAAACAAAAAAAAAGACCCTTGCCCAAGCATTCTCAGCAGTTTATTTTTTTTCACTAGCATCTTAGGAACCAAGGTTTTAAAAATCTAACCTGGAAAAGGAACTACTTTGGCCACTGGTTTTCAGATCAGTAGTTCAATTATCTGGTCCAAATGGATCATCCCGTGACGTTTTGAAAAATAAAAATAAAAAATGACATAAAAACCATTCATCGGGTTGAATGGTTTAGTAATTCAACCATCTGGGTCGGTAGTTTGTTGACCAAGTAATTTTTTTTTTTTTTGTAAATTTTGGGCCAAGTATAAAACAGAACCAAACAGTTGACCGGTTTCCGGGTCGAACAGTTCACTGCTCGGGTCAACAGCAGTTTTAAACCCATGTTATGGACAAGAGGTTTTAAACTAAGATTAAAGCAGAATATAGGCAGTGTAAAATTAATAGTAATTAGAGTGGAAATCAAGGTAATATTAGGACTAAAAACCAAAAGATGTCTTAATTTGACCTCTTTTAGTTACCTTGGTTAGGCATAAAAAGGGAGATATTAGGAGGATTTTCTCCATAGAATTAGGGCATTACAGGTAAAATGAAGAGGTTTACTGTAACTCCTATGCACAATAGAATACCACTTAGGCTAAAAGGAAGATTTTATAAAATGTGTATAAAGCCAGAAATGTTGTACAAAGGGTATTGGGTAATCAAGAAATAACATGTTGTCTAAAATGAGTATAGAAGAAACAAGAATGTTGAAAACTGGAAATGGATGAGCGGAAAACTTCAAAGGATAGGACAATGAGTGAACATATTCATAGGAACCTAGGAGTAGCCCCAGTATGTAACAAAATGAGAAAAAGTACACTAAAATGGTTTGGTCACATTTAGAGGAGACTATCTACAGAACCAATGAGAAGTGATCTATTCCAAATTGAAGGATTTAGAAAAACTAAGGGCAGACCAAAGGACATGGGTTGAAGTAGTGAGAAATGATTTGAGGGCCCATAATGTAACAATGGATACAACATTGAACAGAGCCAAATGGCGGAAGAGGATTCGTGTAGCCAACCCCATATAGTTGGGACAAGGCTTAGTTGGGTTGAGTTGAGGGAAAAAATCCTAGATCAAAGGTTTTCTAAAAACTAAAGCATGATATCAAAATTTTCTATTGGATGAAGGCACCCATAACCTTGTACTAATTCTTGGGAAATAAAGTGCTACATTTCCATTTTCCCTCTTCAGAAAAATCCATCATACCATTTTGTTATGAAATATTCATTCTATTGGAAATTGTAATTTTATAGCTATTTTTTTTTGTAAATAATTATGATAGCTTTAAAATAATTAATAAATCTGAATTATTAGCAGCATTGTGCAGCTTGCAATTGGGAAAACCATTGGGTTTCAAGCATGTAATAATAGAAGGCTATTCAAAGCTTGTGATGGGATGGAGAAAAGATAATTGTCAAGTGGCTATTGCAGTACCGACATGTTATGAGGAAAATAAAACACTTAGCAAGGGAAATTGAAGCAAGTTTTTCATGGGTACCTAGATCTGCCAACAGCTTGGCAGATGCTCTAGCCAAGAAAGGACTGAAAAGTCAATTATTTTGGGCACAAATGTAATGTAATCATCAGCATTTTGGGTAGTAGGCTAAGCCTGCATTATATTTGGGATGCATGGCATATATTGTACATAAATCATTCTTTTGATAATTTCCTTCTGTTACCAATCTAAAAAACTTAAAAAATAATAATTATTAATTTGACATTGGAAATTTTCGTATAAAATTATAGTAAAAGGGGTGTATCCTCCCATAGAATCTGGCACTGTTTTCCATCTATTGGAAATTTTTGAAAGAAACAAACAACAGAACTTTTGAGAACAAAATCCATGTGTGAATCAGGTGTTGATTGGTCATAGTGAAAGGATTATTGTTGAGTGAGTTTCCATCCTCAAGGATCTTGATGGCCTTCAATTTTCAAATTCCTGTAATAGCTTGTTCCAAGGCTTTTACCCTTCTTTTCTTTGGATTTGGCTTAAATTCCTTTAACTAGAAGAAGGTGGTTAAATGCCATGTTTCATTATAAGGGTGACTCTGCTGAACTTGTTTTGCAGGTCAATCATTAAAATTTATTGATAGCGGTATTGTTCAATATGACAAAGGTCTTCATGGTCCAGCTGATAAGAGGAGGCGGGTTCAACCACCCAAGGATGGTATCTTTCACGTTTCTTGCCAAGACTAGATGTTTTAGAGCCTGTCATGTCTACCAAAAACTTAGCTGTATTGTTACTAATTCCCACGTTTTAATCAAAGACAAAAGATAATTCTGCTTTTTTTATCAATAACACAATTCATTAATTTCATTAAAAACTTTCAATAATAATTACAAAGAGAAGGACAAACTTTCTTATCTTCCAACTATAACTTGAGCCCCAAGAGAAGGAAAAAGAAAAAGAGAAAGAGAAGGAGAAATAGAAAAATAAAATTACAACTATGTCCAAAACATTGACTCCCTCTCCACCCCTTGTTTAGCTAACCCATCAACAAAAGAATTAGCTGATCTTTTTACCCAGTTGATTTTAACTTCCATTTCTCGAGCCAGCCATCTAAATTTCCTCCTCATATTGCTGTAATTCCATATACCACTGTTGTCTTTATTCAGCCATCCTACCACCACCTTCGAGTCCCCTTCAATTATAAGTTTTCTGGTATTCATCTCCCTGGCTTTCTCGGTTCCTTCCATAACCGCATGGATCTCGGCTCTGAGAGAGTCACCCACTCCAATTGGGCCTGAGAACATGGAAGAAACAACCCCATTCTCATCCTTAAAAACACCCCCAATCCCTGATTGTCCAGGATTCCCTCTACAACTCCCATCAAAGTTTAGTTTTATGAAACCCGCAGGTGGGGGAGTCCAAGACACATTCATCACTGTTTTGGTTTGGGTACTGTTAGCAATCTCATCCCAATTCCTCAACATGTCATCCACTGTATAATCTATGAATAGCTCTAGCGATTTTATCCACTTTACTTCCCTTATAAGGATCAAAGTCCTCAATTCATTAGTACTTCTCTCTACTTCCGAGAAGATCCTGACATTCCTTTCTTCCCATAAAGACCAACAAACCGCAACCCTCAGTCCTCTCTACATAGTCCTGCCTCTTTTCATGTTCCACTTGAAAAAAGGAGAAAACAGATTTTACAAATTTGATGGAGGATTCTAACTACACCCAAATAGGGAGAGAGCCCACTCCCAAATAGACTTTGCAAATTGGCAAGACACCAGTAGGTGAAAACCAGTTTCCCCATCAGCTTTACAAAGAACACACCAGTGAGGGGAGAAACAAGTATTGGGTCTCTTCTTTTGGAGCAGATCACCAGTGTTGAATCTTTCCAGAAAGGTTTCCCAGCAAAAACTACCAACCTTAGGAGGGATTGGTCTACACCAAACTTCATGAACAGGAAAAGGGAGGGCTATAGGACTAGTGGACTGGCTTAAAACTTTGAAGAAAGAGGCACAGGAGAAAGAACCAATGGGGGTGGGGGTCCAAATTCTAGAGTCCACCTTAGCAGGGCCTAAGAAAATATTGTCAAGAAGCTGAAGGAGACTCGAAATGCTGTCAAGGTCTGAGTCTCTCACAACCCTTCTCAAACCTAAATTCCAACCAAACCCAGACGAAGAGAAGCGGGTTATGAAGGAGAAGACTGGCTCATTTTTAAGGTCAGAAAAGGCATATAAAGAAGGAAACTGGTCCTTTAGAGGGGCATTCCCCACCCAAGTTTGTTCCCAAAGTTTTATAGCATTACCTGAATCCAAGTCATACCTAATAAGAGGGGAAAAAACTAGTAACAACTCATGAATGGCTTTCCATCCAATTAGTTCCAACCCATGTATGCTGACTACTATCTTGGCCCATAACTTTTCCTTCTCTAGTGGGAATCTCTACAACCATTTCCCTAGAAGGGCCACATTCCTTTTTCTAATGTTCCTGAGCCCCAAACCACCACTATTTTTACTCCTAGTCACCACCTCCCAACCTACTCTATGGTCACTCTTCTCCTCTCCCGGCTCCCAAAGGAAGTCTCTCATCATCTTTTCCAATTTGTTAGAAACCTTTATTGAAATTTTGAACACTGAAAGGAAATAAATAGGTAAATTTGCTAGAGTAGCCTAATCAGTGCTATCCCCCCACCTATAGAAAGGTAGTTCCTTTTCCAAGAGACAAGTCTCTTTTCAAATCTTTCCACCACTAGATTCCAAAAACTCTCTCTCTTTGGGTTATCATCCAATGGCAACCCCAAATAATTCAAAGGTCACTTTGAGACTTCACACCCTAGCACTTTTGCAATTTCCCTGATCTCACCTTCCTCCATATTCACACCCACTACACAAATTTTCTCAAAATTCACCTTCAAGTTTGACATTTGTTCAAAGAGTTGTATCACCAATTTCAAGTTCCTTATAAACCTCATATGTCCCCCTTCACAGAACAGAATTGTGTCATCTGCAAACTGTAGATGGGTGAGGGGTGTATCCTCCCTTCCAACTCTCCATCCTCTAATAAGACCCCTAGAATCTGCTCCATGGATCAATCTCCCCAGAACATCAACAATCAGTGTGAACAGGAAGGGAGATAGGGGGTCTCCTTGTCTTACACCCCTAATGGTTGGGGAAGAAGTCAACCACTGTCCCATTCACTAATACATAGTAATGACAATTCCAAACACACCCCATAATCCATTTGCACCATCTAGCCCCAAATCCAAATTTAGTCATAACTTTCCTAAAAAATTCCCATTCCACCAAGTCATAGGCCTTTTCCAGATCCAACTTACAGACCACTCCCTTTCTATCCTTTCTGAAATTCTCCACACTCTCATTAGCAATTAGAATTTGATCTGTTATTTGTCTTCCACTCACTAAAGCTCCTTGATTTGGTGAGATGATAGCTGGCAACTAATGAGTTGCTGCTCACCTCAGGAGTCTCTTCGAGGGAGACCCTTCCTCCTATGCAGAAATGAAGAGAAAAGAGAGAGATAGAGAAAGAGAAGTGTGGATTCAATTGCATGTTCATTCATTTGGCCAACCCATATTTATAATGGTTTTGGGTTACAAAATATCTTAACAAACTTTATGCTCTAACGAACTCATGCAGAGGGACCAGCTGATGTGTTGCTTGTTGCAGTTAGGTGCTGAAACGAATTTCGTGTGCTCTTCCTCAGGTAAGTGCAAGTGAGCGGAGGCCTGGGCCTCTGGGTTGGGTTAGGGCCTTGGTTCCCAACAGTTCCCCCTCCTTCAAGATGGGCCTTGTCCTCAAGGTCTAAATCTGGAAATTGATTTTTCAGCTGCCAATATGGTTCCCACGTGGAGTCATGGTGGGGAAGCCCAGTCCAGGTTACCAAGGCTTCTTGTACTATGTTCTTCCCGCGATGAACCCAATGGTAATCCAATATCTTGACAGGTGTGAGGGTAATGTTTCCATCTTCCGTAAATGTTGGGAGATTGTTGCTAATTTTGGTTGGATCTCCCACGGACTTCTTAAGCAAGGAAATGTGAAAAACTGGGTGGAGACGAGCTGTCTTGGGTAGGTCCAGTCGGTAGGCAACATTGCCTATCTTCTCAATTATCTTGAACAGCCCAAAGTAGCGAGGAGAGAGCTTATTACAGGCCCTTTTTGCTACTAAGGACTGTCGATAGGGTTGTAGCTTGAGGTAGACGTAGTCCCCCACCTGAAAGTCGATGGCCCTATGTTTTTTGTCGTACTGTTTCTTCATGAGTTGTTGGGCCTTGTGTAAGTTCTCCTTCAGGAGGCTGAGCACCTTGTCTCGTGCCAACAACTGGGCTTCGACTTCTGCTACTGCGGTTGAACCCATTTCATACAGAAGGATGATTGGTGGTTCCCTTCCAAACACTGCTTTGAATGGTGTCATGCCTGCTGCCGCCTGGAATGTAGTGTTGTACCAGTATTCGGCCCATGGGAGCCACTTCATCCAATGTTTGAGCCTGGAACCCACGAAACAACGTAGGTAAGTCTCCAAGCATCTATTCAGCACTTCAGTTTGTTCATCAAACTGAGGGTGATATCTAGTAGATCGATGAAGCATTGCCCCTTGTAAATGGAAATATTCCTTCCAGAACTGACTGAGGAAGGTCGGGTCCCGATCTGAGACGATTGATTTGGGGGTACCGTGGAGTCTTGCCACTTCTTTGATGAAGGTTTCAGCTACTGAAGCTGTGGTGTAGGGATGTGATAGGGTGATGAAGTGCCCATACTTAGAGAGCCTGTCGACCACCACCATAATCACCGACTTGCCCCCAGAGAGTGGAAGGCCAGTGATGAAGTCCAGTGATATATTTTCCCAAATCTGTGATGGAATTGGGAGGGGTTGCAGGAGCCCAGGAGGGGATTGGGCCAAGTACTTTTGTTGTTGGCATACTGTACACTGTGCTACGTGCTGCTCTACTGTCTTCTTCATGTTGGGCCAATAAAATGTGATGAGAGCCTCTTATAAGTCTGAAAAATACCTGAATGTCCTCCCAACACCGAATCATGATAGAGCTCTAGCAAGGTCTTCTGATGCACTGAATTAGGAGAGAGAACAAATCTCCCTTTAAAGAACAAGTCTGGTCCCTTCATTGTGTACCCCGGTGTAGAGGTGGGGTCTTGCAAATAGCTTTGCCGCACCTTTTCAAGGCTGGGGTCATTTCTGGCCTCCTCTCGTAAAGCTTCAAATAGAGGGTAATGGGGCTGAGAGTGTACTAACAGCAACAACTCAGCCTTCCGTGACAATGCATCCACAGCTCGGTTGGTGACTCCAGGCTTGTATTCGATAAAAAATCAAAGCCCATTAACTTCATTACCCACTTTTTGTGATCTGGGGTGAGAGCTTTTTGGTCGAGTATGAACTTCAAGCTCCTCTGATCAGTTCAGATTATGAACCTTCGACCCAAGAAGTATGGTCGCCATTTATGGACTGCCAGCACTATTGCCATAAGCTCCTTTGTATATGTTGACTGGTTCTGGGCTCTAGTGGAGAGGGCCTCGCTGAAATAAGATATGGGCCTTCCATTTTGCATGAGCACTTCTCCAACCCCCACACCTGATGCATCACATTCAACCACGAAGGTCTCTTCGAAATTTGGTAAGGTTAGGACTGGTGGGCTGGTCATTGCCTGCTTGAGGGAATCAAAAGCCTTCTGGGCCTGCTTCGT